TGAAAAATTATTTTTTATTTGCTGTCAATTTCCATATCATATTAAAAAAATTAAAATCATTTTTCACTTAAATTGCTTTCGTGAAACTGGCTGTAAAAGTTATTTTCTTAGCGTTAACGAGCATTACCAGCGTTGGAAGGTTTAGAAAAAACCATTGTCGAATATTTTCCCATCATTGACTCTGGGGATGTCTACAGCTGGATAATAAACCCGTTTTCATGTGACCCGAAAAGATGACAAATTAAGCTTTTGAAAACCTTCTGGACATCAGTGAAGACAGCACTTTGAATTTTAAATACTACGAAGTGAGCCAAGAGAGTTTTGGATGCAAGTGTGCGCAGAAAACTCTGCTGTTGGCAAGATTGCATCAAAAATACTAGTGACTTTTACTTTTACATTTCTATGTGAGATTGCATTTTCAACAAATGCTTATAGAGCAAGAGCCAGCGACGGCTAGACCTTCGTTATGCCCTATGTATGCCCCCAACGCAGGTAATAACAAACCCAGACTATGAAATTTGGATAGTGGTGGCTTTGGCAGGTGCCAGGTAGTAAAGGTGTATAAAATACCACCTCAAATTCGTGATAGTATAAAAGTCAGTTTTTATATATTTTACTCGTAATGACATTAGAGACCACGTCGTTTATTGCCAGACACTTAGCATGGTTCCTACCCCCTGCCAGACACCCTTAAACCATGAAAATTTTAAGTTATACTTTCGTCATAGTATAAAAGCTGATTTTTATATATGTCACTTGGGGAACTATCAAAAGATGTTTCCTCACTTGCCAGACCGTTTCGATAGTTCCTTCATCTTGCCAGACGCTTTAAAGGCGTAGGTGCGAGCATGAAAAAACTGATAAAAATTATACTTTGTTAGTTACTTATCGGAGACGGCGCTCCTTTCAAGTTGAATTCCAATCTCTTACAAAATTTGTTAAGGCCAATGGCTATTTGCTATGCCACAAAGCCTATTTTTTGCAAAATTTAATTTAATTTAATTTAAAAAAATTTTATAAGAAAAAAGGGTAAGTGTCTGGCAATGAACGACGTGGTTTCTAATGTTAATACGAGTATAAATGACTTTTATACTATCACGAATTTCAGGTGGTAAATATTTTATACACCTTTACTACCTGGTACCTGCCAAAGCCACCACTATCCAAATTTCATTCATTTTCCGACGAACTGATAACCTTCTCCTTTTTGTGAAGTCGGTTAAAAACAAATACACCAGCAAGCTTTCAGCGTCAAATGATTTCAGGGTAAAATTGTCCAAAGCTCCCAATAAACTTAAAGGAAATAATGAAATCATCAAAACAATTTCAGTCCTCACATTAAAGCTAAAGGAGCATAAAGTTTGCGTTGTGTTTTCTTGTTTTCGTATACATTTGAAGAGTAGGGGTGCCGCTAAATTTTTTTAGTACAACAAAGGCGCCGCGGTGAAAAAATTTGGGAATTTGCTCTAGTTGTTTCTGTTCTTTCCAGCTCAGCGTGCTTTCCATTTTCGACACCTTTGCCTTCAGTGCTTTATTCTCTCCTTCAGTTGTTGTATAGTGGTGAGAAAGTCAATATTTATTTGCTTTAAGTTATGTATGTCTTCATATAACAGCTGAAGAGTAATTTTGTTTTTGATTCCTTCATCGCTTGCACTGCACTGCTCACGTAGGAGTAAACCAACCCCTTGCTCTGCTGCGGTCAATGCATTGCGCTGCTCACATGGTTTCTGACTTGTTGACTGCTCCTCGTTTGCCACGATGCAGCGAAACAAAGGTGGCGCCTTCCGGGGACCGCTAGTCCTCTTTTTCTCCACCCTTTCGCTGACGTCACATTATTATTTTTTCGCACAAGTGATGAATATTAAATTTTCATATTGTACCAATTTGCCGAAAAGTTGTACCTATAAGTTGATATACGTACCTAAACAGTAAACATGTATTTTTATGTGCATTAATTTTTGGTAGTTGGTGGACTACACCTTCTGTTTGTACCATAACAATTTTTCTACTTACATGAAACACTAATTTACTACGTTCCAAATGTACCTAAAATAATGTGCTTGTACCGAATGTACGTTCAAATTTAAGAAGCTGAAGAGTAGGTACAATTCAACTTAGTTTTACATCACCACTTGTTCGCTTCTTCCTCTTCTTCTTCCAAATTATTCTTTACACTCTCATTCTCAAAATAATGTGACGTTATACCCAGTTGCTCTCAGCTCGATTGGCGCAATCTTGTATTCTATCATTCTTGGTCGTTTGCTGCATTTCTACGTACATTCGCTTGAGAGCTACATTAGGTTTGTTCCACACGAGCCCGCGGGAACCCACAGGTGACCAAAACAGCCCAGCCAGCGTTCCTGACGCTAGAAAAATGGGTAATAGAGACTGAATACGTTCCACTTTTGGAACAGTCAATTTTATTTCCACTGGTTCGTTCTGTTTTATCTTTGCATACTACACAGTTCATTTTGAAGATTTGATACGTGTAAAATTTAAGTGATTCGCTCTCCCATTCGTAATTCGCTCTCTCATTCGTGATTGGCGTCCCAATTAAGAACCGAATCACGTAATTCGCCATACAAAATTTTTAGAGCGAATCACTTAATTCGTGGGTGATTCAGATCCAATCACCATGCGAATCAAGAACAAATCGTTGTCTTCTCAAATTTTATCGATAACGGCTGTCAAAACACATAGACCACACACATCCCCACCAGCACAAACATTGAAAAAATAGCTAGATGCGTTAAAACTATTGATTTAGCTAATTAACCACTACACATTTTTTCTCCACCGTTGAAATTGGGGATGTCGGAAAAACATCGATGTATCGAAAATATCGAAGTTTTGCTTCGATGCATCGACAATTTTGTATAAATAGTCGATGAATCGATGCATCGATTTATCGATGTTTTTTTTAAAACTGACATCTACGGTACATTGAACCGTCATTCCAGTTTTTCAATTGTTCCAAAAAAAGAAGTGACTTTTGCCAAAAAATTTAAATGGCTGCAAGAAGTTCCGTTAGAAACATAATTAGCTCAGTTGCAGTAATTTATTTCAAATTTATTACAATTTTGATAATAACAAATTTTGTTGTGAAACATTATCTGAAAAATCCTATGCAAATCGATAGACATGACATCCCTAGTGGAAATGCACAATAAACAATAAACAAAAGCAAAGAACAAGAAGCAGAAATGCAAAGTGAATCACAAATGTGTCGTGTAAACAGATTGATTCGCCGTTCGTAATTGAGAGAGCGAACCACGTGATTCGGTTG